TTCAATCGTCATTACTGACAGCACAGCTTCACTTTGATCCAAACGCTGTTGTGGACAATGAGAGTGGAACCGAGTGTGAATCCGGCAGCGCCTGTGATTGGTTATCAATCCACCAATAGCAAGCGTGCGTCACACGCACATCGTGTCCGCAACTCAACATGCGGTAGTATGCACGCGAACTGTACAGAATCCACGCTACCCACCCGAACATACGAAGATATCTGTGGTTGATATGGATCTTGGAAATACACGCCCTCACTTATCGTCACATTCAGCTGATTGCCACACAGCGTCATGCTCAGGAACAAGATTCCTGAAAAACACTTTCACTAACAGAATTCGTCATTGGTAAATATTAGTAGTCAAAAATAGTGTGCTAGATCTCGACAAACATGACAGGTCAGCTATTTCCGGCCACAGTTAAGGCAAACTGATCGTCATTTATTTGTCCGAAACCTTGAGCACAACTTTTTTTACTCATGACTAGTTAAAAGTGACGCGTGTGGTACTGATAACCACTGTTACAAGACACACCATGCAACCGGTTTTCGTTAAGATCTGTGAAGGCAGTTCAGAGTGTACTGTTTCACTCGGGAAACAACTACGATCCTATATCGAAAATTGTCTGGGAAATGCTTGACAGTGTTTCTAGCGCCAGTCTCTAAATAATCTGAGCAAACTCAAGAAGGCGAAAAGGATCAGTGGAGAAAGAAGTACTGAAGTGAGCGCAGAAGACTGCATATTTACTTCAAAGCGTCTTTGGTCATGCACAGTTTCCCTCTACTCGCACCTCACCGAGTTCATTTAGGTGTATAGGACTACCCAGCACAGTCCAAAGACTTGCCAACAATTGCAGTTTTAATGACCTTTGGAATGCCCGCACGAAATGGGCGATGGCGCGGCGCGATAAGATTCAAATGCTGAGTGCCGTTAATCAACGAACAAAGAGTGACGAGGTGCGGAATACTAGCACTAGGACTAGACGACCGGAAATGAATTCAGAACAATTTGGAATGAACTGCTCCTTCTCATAAGCTGGTCATCACTGACCCGAGGGAAGTAGCAGTTATACCATGCTGCTATCACCTCTTATAAATACGTATTTGTTTTCGACTTGGGCGTATAAAACAGTCAGCGCTGGTACGCAGCTTTAATGGGCCAAGAAATTCAAACATAACAGGACGAAAGAGGCAAACAAAGAACCACTGAGACTTTCAAGTCAGTATCCAAAATCTTACAATGTGAACTTCTCATTGAACGCAGGTCGATTCGTAGCCATCCAATTTCGAGTTTTGTAGGATTGGATTTTCTCACGATAATGTCGCTTGCGACTGTTACCACATCGTCGCCTCATCTCAACCTATAAAATCGTTTCAATCGTCATTTACTGACAGCACAGGTTCACTTTGATCCAAACGCTGTTGTGGACAATGAGAGTGGAACCGAGTGTGAATCCGGCAGCGCCTGTGATTGGTTATCAATCCACCAATAGCAAGCGTGCGTCACACGCACATCGTGTCCGCAACTCAACATGCGGTAGTATGCACGCGAACTGTACAGAATCCACGCTACCCACCCGAACATACGAAGATATCTGTGGTTGATATGGATCTTGGAAATACACGCCCTCACTTATCGTCACATTCAGCTGATTGCCACACAGCGTCATGCTCAGGAACAAGATTCCTGAAAAACACTTTCACTAACAGAATTCGTCATTGGTAAATATTAGTAGTCAAAAATAGTGTGCTAGATCTCGACAAACATGACAGGTCAGCTATTTCCGGCCACAGTTAAGGCAAACTGATCGTCATTTTGAAAAATATTATCAAAAGAAGAACAGAAACTGTAAAGCGAAACAACGTGGGATGCTCGTCAGGGCCAGGGTCCACCCTACAGTTGGGACTTTTTGCAACGGCGAATTTTCTCCGCTCTCACCTCATTACATGTACCGGAGCACTACCGAAGCCAGTACGAGCCCCCCACAAACCCAACAAACTCGACCCCCCCCCCGTTGGTACTTGTCCCAACGTAGGGTTGACCCTGCAGGCTCAGAAAAGGACTTTCGAAATTCGAAACTACGCTGTTCACTGATCTGGAGATCAATGGCTTGGAGAAGACTGGAAAACCAAACCGAAATGGCCTTCAGAAGTCCTATGATTAGGTGAAGAAACTCCGGTTTTGTTGTGAAATTCTGCTGAATGATAGAAAAAGTTATTGACTCGAAGAAGAATTATTTATGAAGGTCCTAGGTCAGTTTTTCTTGATCTTGGGGACACGTAATTATGACACGCAAGCATTGCTGTAGCTTCTCTAAGATTACATTACATTCTAAGGCTTACATTTTGGCCTCACTGCTTTCGTCAGAGCATGAAAATGGGAAGTGATTGAGACCGATTCTTTCATGGGCCAAACAATCCTGAAGACAGTTTCTACAGAGCAGTAAACTACCGAATGGTATCAATGGATTCAAAAGTGCTACAACACCCAGCTAGAACTTTGTCGCCGAGGCGCAACATCGACTACTCAAGAACTAGGCTACTGTAGAGAAAGGGCAAACCATCCCTTTCACCGACTACAGCTCCTAGTTTCTTTATCGTAGCCTAACCCTAGTAGCACTCTCGAATCCATCGATACCGTTTGGTGATTTACTGTTTTGTAAAATGTCTTCAGGATTCTTTGGCATACGTTCTGTGCCTCTCACTTTTTCAGGCCGTGACGAAGGCGAAGAGGCATAAACGTAAGCCTAATTAAAATTGGAGAAGCTGCAGCTAAACATTTGCATCAAAGGCTTATGAATTGAGGTGAATCTAAATTTTCGCAGTTAAAAGAATAAATAAGATTTTTTGGTAGTGGCGATCGCTAGCTTCTTTGGGCACCTTTACAGAATTGATCCCACACTTTCTTTATAAACGAACTTGAGGCACGCGGGCACCCGACAAGAGGCCCGTCGCCGCGACAAGAAGGCAGAGTCAGCGGACGAGTTGCGCGTACTGTAGGGATTTCGCGTCAAGTTAAAATAGAATGTACCATTGTACGTCCTACATCGCACATCACGCGCTGCGACTCGTCCGCTGACTCTGCCTTCTTGCCGCGCGACGGGCCTCCTGTCGGGTACCCGAGGCACGCTGGCGATTAAGTCCCTAATCCTCGGTACCCTTTACCCTCGAAAACCATGATGTCTTGCCAGCAACCGATGCCCATCACCAGCCTACCTACTAATAAGAGGACCCTGCCTTGCGCGCGAAAAGTGGTCTAAAACCATCGCGGTAGAAAAAAATTCATAAATGAGATGCGCAGTAGGTATACCTTCACTGCCGACATTTTTGGCGACTCCAGTCGGTAATCCAAAGTTCTCTGGACGGTAAAACGTCGGCTTCACATTCTCGACCTGAGAGCGCGATGACGTCGGAAATTCACACGAATCCTGTTAAGAGAAAAGGGCATTAGTAGTAGATGTTTGCAGAAAGGAGAACACAAAAACAACGACCAATACGCACTTCACCATAATAGCTGCTCGGTCGTGACGTCCCCTCAATAATCTGATTATAACTGTACATGGGAATGCGACCGGCGACGGACGTGCGCGGAGTCGAACTGACGAACTTCGGAACATGGTGTGGATTCGTTTTTGGCAGGGAGGAAATGAATGGCTGAAAAGACTGCGATAAGTACTATCACACATAGGGAGCAAAAGTCTAACAGTGAAAAATGGAGCGCCAATTTCAAGACGAACAACCTGAAAAGAAGTGGTAGTGGATGTTTGCTGCGGTCGCCAGTCTCGTTGTAGCCGTAAAGAAGGCACATTTGGTGGCTCGTCGATCGAATCGCCCATGACTGGTGACAATTCCTGAAACAGTGGGGCTTCTTTCTATGGCATCATACTTCTAGTAAATTACCCGTACTTGAGGTATGGCAAAAACCGGTGGCACACGGTGTTTGGTGGCTTTTTGTACAGGAGTGTACAAATCAGACAGATCATCCTCTTCGTTTGTGGACTCCAGTAACGAGGAAAAATTGGATGGAATCGTCGACAACGAGCTGCTGTCGGTTGGTTTCAGATGTCCTCGTGACGGCAAACCGTACTGTGACTTTCGGAGCAGCCTGCAACATATTTCATCATCTGGGTGAAAAAAGATATTTCAACGGATTCATTATAATTTTAGCGTTTAGCACGCTTGAGATGTCCTGAGACGCTTTGCTACATGCCCACATGATCGGCGGATTCACTCTCAGCCAACCAAACCCTGAATCTCTCAGTGTCGGTTACACAATAGAACGCCTGAGTGTAGGGACCAAAACACTGGAATGATCCTCAGTGAGGGAAAGACGAATGTGCAGGCAAAAAGGTGTCGAGCACCTCACAGTAGCAGCAGTACAGTTGAATAAAAATCAAATGCGCGCCTCATCAGTTTAGCCATGCACTGTGAGTGCGACAAGCCTCTGTGATTGGTAGGCTTCCACAATGGCCAATCATCACAGCCGTGCGGTTTGTTGAAGGGAATTCCTTTGTATTACAATCAGAGTGGCA